TGTCCTACATTAGTTTGCTTACGACGCATTTTTACATACGAAAATATAGGGTGTAACAACCCTGCTCAAATATCCATTTTATCACTGCTGCAAAACTCCGAGGCACATAAGAATGCCCTGATGAAGGTGTTAAACGAAGCCTATGTACCCAACAATATCACCAGTAGAGAGATGGCCAACATGGTAGGGCAAGTGTTGGAAAGCCAGATCACTTTTCATGAAGACGAGCTGCCACCAGAAGGATTAAGTCACAACAGGGCACTGCATATCACAGTGCAATTTGAAGTCAAGTTCATTACTAGTGTCTTGATAGATGGGGGGGTCGAGTATCAACATATGTCCACTAACTACTCTGAAAAGATTGGGAAAAGGCCTGCACGAGATAGAGCGGGAAGTATGAATGTGAAAGCATTTGATGGGTCTCAAAGGGCCACAATTGGGGAAACCAACCTCAGCCTACAAATGGGCCCAACTTGGTTTGATGTTGAGTTTCAAGTGTTGGACATATCTTCTACCTACAACCTATTGTTTGGACGACCTTGGATACATGCCGCTGGGGCCGTACCTTCTACTCTACATCAGGTCGTGAAGTTTGAGTGGAACCATTAGGAAGTGATCATCCATGGGGATGGAAGTAATCCCATTTACACTATCCAAACTGTTCTGGTCATCGAGAATAGAAGGAAGTTGGGTGGAGAAACATATCATCGCATCGAGCGCGTCAACACAATTGAAAAGGACAAATGGTGGAGCAGTAAGATAGAAGGCATATTGGCATGGACAGGGTATGAACCTGGCAAGGGTCTCGGTAAAAATCTCCAGGGGATCACCAAACCGATACAATTAAAGTGTCACGGCAGAACTTTTGGGCTTGGGGTATGAATACACCTGGCACGAGTATCAGAATTGGTCGCCACCATGGCGTGGTCCTTATTACCCTCTAGAGCAACCAGTACTACATTTGAGCCAGTCATTTCATCAAGCTGACATGATGTGGGAGTCCGAAGAAGATGAAGTTCTAGTTGGTATAAGGAATCTGTTTCTGGATGATGAAGACATGGATTGCAGTGCGATAGTTGAGGAGGAGGAGGAGGAAGGCCTCATTATTCAGACCATGGAGAAGGGAGATGTTCTCAAGAACAGGACTACTGCACCATCAAGGGCCCGTCGAGTTCCTGGGTAGCCTGGCAATTAGCACCATTTATTTTGAAAGAAATTTTATGAGCATCTAAGATATTTTTAGTATTTTATTTTAAGTATATTTTGTTTTGAAATAATTGCTCGAGCCATCGAGCCGTACTTATTTGGCATTTTCAAGATTTATCTAATGCATTGTTATTTTAATATTTATTATTATTCTTTACATTTTTTTCTCTACACCATTATTATTACCTATCCCGATGAACCTACGACGGTGACATGTAATGAGACAACGCAACATAAGGATAATGATTCAAAGGATCTGGAAGAGTATATAATACCCGAGGAAATGGTCAGAGAAGTAGAAAACTTTGAAAACAAGCCTAAGTCCAATTTGGATGAGACTGAAATAGTTAATTTGGGAGACTCCAAAACAGTCAAGGAAACACGTGTAAGCATTCACCTAACACCATCAGATAAGGCAGAGTACATCCGGTTCTTGAAGGAGTATGAGGATATCTTTGCATGGTCCTACGATGATATGACCGGTTTGAGCACGTCCATAGTGGCTCATAAACTACCTACCAAACCTATGTGCCCGCCTGTAAAGAAGAAGCTCAGAAAATTCAAGCCAGATATGAGTCTGAAAATAAAGGAGGAAGTCACCAAGCAGATCAAAGCCAAGGTTCTCAGAGTGGTTGAATATCCGACCTGGTTGGCTAACATTGTGCCAGTTACAAAGAAAGATGGGAAGGTCAGAGTGTGTGTCGACTATCGGGACTTAAACAGAGCAAGTCCCAAAGATGATTTCCCGCTGCCCAATATACACATACTGATCGACAACTGTGCCAAGCATGAACTCCAATCCTTTGAGGATTGCTTCACAGGATATCATCAGATTTGGATGGATGAATAGGATGCCGAAAAGACAGCCTTTATTACACCATGGGGAGTGTATTGCTACAAAATAATGTCGTTTGGACTAAAGAATATTGGAGCCACTTATATGAGGGCCATGACAACCATTTTCCAAGACATTATACACAAGGAGATAGAGGTATTCGTGGATGATGTCATCATCAAATCCAAAAGAAGCACAGATCATATAGCAGATTTGATGAAATTCTATGATCGACTTCGAAGGTACAACCTAAAATTGAACCCCGCAAAGTGTGCCTTCAGGGTCCCCGCTGGAAAGCTGCTAGGGTTCATCGTCAGCTATCGAGGAATTGAGTTAGACCCGTCAAAGTTCAAGGCTATCCAAGATTTGCCACCTCCAAAGAACAACAAAGATGTGATGAGTTTCTTGGGGCGTTTCAATTACATCAGCCATTTCATAGAACAATCAACTGTGATTTTTGAACCGATTTTCAAAATATTAAAGAAAGAGGTTGCGACAAGTTGGACTGAAGAATGCCAGAAAGCCTTTGACAAAATCAAGAAATATTTGCCCACACCGCCTGCTCTGGTCCTACCAGAACCTGGGAGACCTTTGCTAGTCTATTTATCTGTACTGGATGGGGCTTTCGGTAGTGTCTTGGGACAACACGACAAGAAGCGAAGAAATAAACAAGCCATATACTATCTGAGTAAGAAGTTCAAACCCTACGAGGCACGGTATTCTTTGTTGGAACGCACCTGTTATGCCCTGGCGTGGATAGCTTAAAAGTTGAGGTACTACTTTTGTGCCTATACCACATATCTCATATTAAGGATGGATCCTCTGAAATATATTTTCCAGAAACCCATGCCTACAGGGAAGCTGGCAAAATGGCAGATACTGTTGAGTGAATTCGACATCGTCTACGTAATTTAGAAGACAGTCAAGGGACATGCATTAGCAGATCATCTGGCAGAAAATCCTGTAGGAGGAGAATACGAACCGTTGAAAACATATTTTCCCAATGAAGAGATATCATTTGTAGGAGAAGAGATCACCGAAACCTACGACGGTTGGAGAATGTTCTTCGATGGGGCTGTAAATTTCAAAGGAGTGGGTATCAGAGCTGTTTTGGTATCAGAGATAGGTCAACATTATCCGGTATCTGCAAAACTCAGATTTTCGTGCACCAACAATATGGCAGAATATGAGGCTTGCATCTTGGGGCTCAAGTTGGCAATTGATATGAACGTTCAAGAATTGTTGGTAATTGGAGATTCAGACCTTTTGGTACATTAGGTTCTAGGAGAATGGGCTACAAAGAATACCAAAATATTGGCATATTTGTACTACGTACAAGAATTGAGGTAGAGATTCACAAAAATAGAGTTCAAACATGTTCTGAGAATCCAAAATGAGTTCGCAGATGCTTTGGCCACTCTATCTTCCATGATACAACACCCAGACAAGAATTGCATCGATCCTATTCCAGTAGGGATCCATAATCAGCTAGCTTATTATGCTCATGTTGAAGAAGAAACTGATGGGAATCCGTAGTTTCATGACATCAAAGAATACTTGGCAAAAGGATAGTACCCGGAGCACGCAAATCATACTCAGAAATGCACACTCCGAAGATTGTCCAACCATTTCTTCCAAAGTTAAGGAATTCTGTACAGAAGGACTCCAGATCTAGGATTATTATGGTGTGTTGACACCAAGGAAGCATCCAAATTGCTCGAAGAGATACATGCCAGAACTTGCGGACCACACATGAATGGCTTTGTTTTAGCTAAGAAAATATTAAGAGTAGGATATTTCTGGATGACTATGGAAACGGACTGCATCAGGTATGTCCAGAAGTGTCATCAATGCCAAGTACATGCGGATATGATAAGAGTGCCACCCAATAAACTCAATGCAATAAGTGCACCTTGGCCTTTCTGTCACGCCCCGAACCTAGGAGCGAGACAAGCACCCGGTGCCTCACCTAACCTGGCGT